AAACTAAATGTGGCTCATGCTTTGCTTTTGTGCAAAAAGGAAAGGCAGATCTGGAACTTAAAAAGTAACGTCACTGTGACCAACCGTAAGGTCTGAGGCTTTTTTTGACCAAAGGCCAAACAGAAATTTTCCAGCCTAGGGTTCTGCTTCTATCATGTCCACAAATCTGCCTCTGGCAAGGCTCCTACAAACTAATTTGAAGGAACATATATTAAATAAAGTGCTAGATAGGTAAGGGATAAGAAAGCAACACTATGGAATACCTTTCTATTGCAGATACTTTAACAGTAGATGCTACAAAGCTTAAGCTTTTAGATTTGAATTTGCTTTGTGTGTGTGGTTGGTTTTTTTTTTGTAGTGTTGTTTGATTTTCTTTTAATGGAAATGATAAATGCACGTGTCAATTAAATCTACATGTTAATATTATTTAGTATTTCCAAACAAGCCCTTTCCATTGTTTTAAAGGTAAAACGTTCTTACGTTACAGAAGAAGGAAGGAGAAAATTCTGATGTAAACTCTCTGTACTCCTACTGTTATCATCACTTTTATTCCTTTTCCTACTTGTATAGTTCAAGCAGCTAATGTACACAGAACTCCTATGGCACTTTCCATAATTTCCATTATTAAACATTTCCCTGCCTTGCCTCCCCCCTCATCCAAAATTCAGACAGAACTTAAAAAAACATTAGCATATCTCTAAGTGGGAGTGATAAAAATAAAGTCCTGGCAATGACTTCACCCTGAGGTCGCATCTTTTGCTTCATATCTCATACAGCATCTCCAAAATTTGAAAGAGAAGGGGCATGTGTAACACTCGTAGGTCCACTAGTAACAAACCTATGAAACTGAAGTCTGAAATAAAATAACAAAAAATGAAAAAGTATCTTGTTCCTACAGATAGACTTGTCTGACTACTCTAGTGGAGTACACAAGACTTAAAATAACCCAATAGACACAGAGAAATCAACTGCCAGTTCCTGGCATTCTCCCATTTCAAGTTCATGGTCCCATCTTTCAATTTAACAAATTAAATATCCTCAATTTAAAGTTGCATTTCAAAACCAAGTCCTATCACCTGCAAGCTTAACAGTTAGAGCCCCTTTAACAGTATTTCATACAAAAGCCTATTCTTAGGAGCTTGTAGCAATAAAGTTGAACAATTCCAAGTTTCAAGTGGTTCTAGGAACTTTAATTTTATGGAAAAAGTAGATGTTGTTTTACTTCACCAACTCCAGCCACTCAGAATGCATAGCTGATCCGCTTCCTACCCAGACAGTCCCTGACTATCAAGAACACATACAAACTTATCTGGAAGGCTTATGAAAAACAGTAAGACCTGTGAAAAATGACCCAAGGACAACAGCAGAAGCTAATAAAAGACAAAGCAGTAAAAAAACATACTATAAGCCTGACAGTCCAACTCTCTTAAAGTAGTAGCTTTTTAAAAGTAATTTGAAGCCCCTTACTAAGACACTGCAAAGGCACTGAGAAGGTAGGACAGCATGTTTGTACCAGATGCTCCACTAGACAAAGAATCCTGCTGACAAAGGCCTAAAGACCCCCCCCTCCCATCCCCATTCCTTTGATCCCATGTCATCTTTTATGATTGCCTGTGCTTGGCATGAGAAGACCCTTCCTTAAATACTTAGTTCTCTCCTAGAGTTTAAAGTTTGCAAATTCTCCCAATACAAAACTGTTCTGAAGTCAAATACAGACATGGAGCATCAACATCTGAGCCACAACAAGACTTCACTGCTGGTTAAGTGGTTTAGCTGAAGACCTCAAGCCCACTTCAAAGATGTTGGATCTGAGTCTTGAAACAAAGCTTTTTTTTCCTCCAACTTGGAGCACTCAGGATTTAGACCCAGCATACTCCAGAGTCAGGTATTTTGACAGAGACTTTTATCTGCTGCATTAGTCTTAAAAGCCTGCTCCAAGAAAGAATCCCTATTAACTGCATCCTTTTATTTTCTGTTTAAAAGTATAAATGGAATACCAAATTCCCCTTATCAAGTCAGTCAGTAGGTGTGTCCACCTAAAACAAGTTTTTTCAAACTAATTGTCCTTCATCTCTCTTTTCTAGCCACATTAATGGAAAATTCTCAGCACTACTTATTATTAAAAAAGAGGTATATACACACCTACTAGGGAAAAACAAAGGTGAATGCATAGCTTCCATCTGATAAGGAACATACAGAGCCGTAAAGGCTGTCTCCCTGGAAGCTGGAAATTCAGAAGTAACGAGGGCAAAGACTATTCAAACCTTCTGTTTCTGAATTCTGGACCAAATGAGTATGCTTGCACATACCATTCAACAGCTTTCTGTTTTCAATGGTTCTTCAGGTTGGTGAAAGTGGCTGTGTCAAGAAAGATAATGAATTTCCCCTTCATTTTCAATGAACGTTAGTATCACTGTACTAACCAAAAGCTTCAACATTACAAAGATAAATTCACCTAGGATCGCTTCTGAAAGTGTTAGTAGTCAAAAAATAGTGAAAACTAATCCTTTATACTAAAACACAGGGATAGATAAGAGTATAGTGATCCTCAAGGAGAAAAAAAAAACAAACTCCACAGGATCTTCAACCTATATTAAGCACAGAAAGGTAAGCTTCTGAGTCATCCATAGGCTGTTTAGGGTCACAGTACATATTTGCTTAGGATCTCCACGTGATAAATAAATGCAAGTCTCAGTAAGTTAGTTCTGTCAAACAGATATTTTTTTTTTGTCTGTACTGGAGTGACTTAAGGAGGTCACAAGTAAGAGCAACAGGAATAAGATTTTGTAGTTTCTTGGCTCAAATGATAAACACTTAAACCACAATACAAAGTGTACAACACAAGATTTCAAGGAAAACTCCATCAAGCTCAACAGCAGCTAGCAGCTTGTCTCTATTTGCCATCACTCTAGATCAGAAGAGTCCACATGCTTTTTTTTTTTTTAATTTCTTTTTTCCCTTTCCTGCCCCTTTCAGTTACACTTGAGCTCTTTGACTGAAAAGGTCTGGAACAGATTAAAAGTCCGACCACAAAATAAAGAACCTTGGCACGTACTCAAGCCTGTCTGGGATACACATACGCAGTGGGCCCAAAAAGGGAAGCTATGCAGCAAGAAACCCTCATGCAGCCTTTTGGACACTTCTTCTTTCAGTTTAATTGCACAGCCTTAACATTTGACGGAGTTTCAGTAGGCACAAGACAAGTAGTTTTTCCCTTTACAGCTAGACCATACCATTTACAGGAGTACAAAAGAGTTCTAAGAAACAAGATTCATGTCACTAACGACCTCGCTCAACGAAAGCCTTTTCCACACTCCTTTTTAATTCCAGGTCATCATGAGAAACTATAAAGCATTACAGAGAAAAGAAAAACACATAAGCTGCAAGATCACTCAGTAAATATAACTGACCTGTCTCTTGTACCTGCAAAAGGCAACACTGATTTTCAAAATGACTGCCTGCTTCCTTTTCAGCCTTATTCACATATTAAGGTAAACGTGAAGTTGCAAATTTCCCACACACCCCTCTTGCAACAGCAAACAGGTCTGCGACTCTGGCTCCTGATAAAGCCAGCATGGCCATTTGCCAAAGCTGACAACCTTCCACATATGCCCCACCTTCGGATTCAAGCTGCACAGTGGTTCAACCTGTCTACAAACTGGTAAGCAGTTTATAAACAAAGTGTGACAATCTGGTGTTTTCCATAAGAGCAAACTGATGTTTAAAGTAAACACTCAAACCTACAAAACAAAAATGCTGACATTTCTAACAGCCATTTCAGAAAAACAAAAGAGAACAGTGACTGTTGGGTTTTGCAGCTCTGTGTTTATATGGCATTCATGGAGTTAATGCCTCTCCCAAAAGGGGCCCACAGTTGTTGTTAGGTCAACCCCTGTAAAGCTTCAAAGGCTTTGCATCCCCTCAGTCTGACCTACTCAGTGATCTGCACACTGTTTTCATTTAGTTGCACAGAGTCCAAAACTAAAGCCTGAAAACCACAATGATCTTTTTTTTTTTTTTTTTATCCCTACTGTTTTTTCCATGGCTCTGGAAAAATAACTAAAAGCCAAAGGAGTCGAAAATAGTAAGTTACTGGAAAAACAAATCAAGGTCCAATTAATACAGCTAGTAAAGCTTCCACACACAGGTCATGGCTTTATACAAAAGTTAAAATTGTAGTATCACCTTAAATACCTCAGAACAATCACCTGGACAATCAAATAATCTAGTTTAGAGTCTCCTAATATGATACACTATTGCTGCTCATAGTCATCAGTGCCAATATTTCATTTAATGTTTGCAGCTCTGATTTTCACAGGCACGTTACAAAAAATGAGGTATCAGTTCTACTTTGTTCAATTTTTACATCTAGGCCTTGCAATCCACTATTTATTTTATTTACTGTTTTATTTCCATTATTACAAGCTTTACCTCACAAAAAGATTTTTAAAGTAGAAGCAAGAAAACTAGTAGTTTCTCTCTGTATTGCTTAAAACAGAAAGTTTTGTCATGACCATCACTGTGACAAGCTGGAATTATAAGCTGGTATATGTTTCAAGTGTATTTAAACAGTATAAATTATTATTTGACAATGCCCTCTTCAGGATAGCACAAAGGAAAGCAAATATTTGTTTGGGAAAGAAAAGATTTTTCTGTGGTGATGTTTTGCAATTTTAATGGAAAGAACGAGCTTGGCCGAAACTGTTTCTAGGTAAGTAATTTCTAAATGCCACCAATTTTGGGAACTGTATGAATCATATGGCAAAATCCCAACCCCTAGCTTTAGAAACTCTGGTGACATACACTCCTACAGGATATATGCTAATCCTTTGTATCTTCTTTTATTAAAAAAAAATAAATATTTATTGAAATTAGGTCTCTATAATTCAAATTAAAATATATTTTAGTAATACTATAAAAAGTTTTCAAAATATGCCTGCAAAATTAAAGCTGAGTGAACTGAAGTTAACCAAAAATTCTGAAGTGAGAGGAACTTTTACCAAAGCGTGGGTCAAGCCTTGGGTCTAGCCAAGATGTAGTCTTGTTCTTATGGTTTATGTAGTAAATTTCTCCATCCTGGGTCATAGCTTGTTCCCATCCATCGGGGAGTGGGCCTGCAATATAGAAGGAAGGAGTTGATGGCGGGCTCTTGTTTGCTCCAGCTGAAATTGATCTAAAAAAATTCCAACATTTTACATATATAACACTACATGAAACAGAAGAGTTTCAAGCTCATGTCTAACATTACTGGGATAAGGGCAAAGAAGTGGTGGGTGAGAAATCAAAGAACAGAAAGCACTTCTATAATTTTGATTCAGGATTTGGAATTTAATTTTAGAACTTGTTGGCATCCTTCCATATGATTTTTGACACTTCCTTTTACTATAGTACAAAACCAGCAATAAGTCAAGCCTGCCAGAATGAAACCAGCATGAGCACGAGGAAAAAGAATAAGCAGAGAGATATTCTGCCTTTCACAGGGAAGTTCATCTAGTGATCAAGGCTGAACAGCCTCAACAACTAACACTGATGAGATCTTGAAATATTCCTCTTTCACAAACAATTTAAGAAGTCACAAAACTCATTTGCCTGTAATCTCACACCATACCCTTCTGTGAAAGCATTCAAGGCTTAAGCAAGCAGAAACACAAACTTGAAGAACAAGAAGCAAACAAGCAATGAACTGGCAATAGCAAGAAAACACCAGGAGCAGACATAAAGACAAAGTGCTACAAACAGCAGTGCTACACCTCTACGAGCAGAATGGCACAGGCAGGGAAACCTACATTTACAAAACAATAAAAGGGAGATAGGTGATGGTGCTCTGGAGTTCAGAGCTCATGTCTGAACACAGACTCTTGAAGTGTATTTCCCTTTTGTTTCAAATAGCAGCTTTTGAGATAACCACCTTTCATCACTATAACGTTCATAAATCACTCATTCCCAACTCTATACAATACATCTATCTGTATTTTGCTTAGATTGAAAACTTCTTAAAGTTACATTCACCTCATCTTATCTGTCAGGCACTTTACAAATGCATGTTTTTTTAATTCCATACTAGTATAGATATGGACTTTTAAAAATATTTACATTAAATACAGGAGGATCTTGCCTGTATTTCTTCAGATTTAAGTATAATCCTAAAAATTATAAAAGATTCACTACAAATGCTTAGAACGCAAAAGAAATGAGAACAAGACTTGCTGCAGGAACCTCAGATTTCACTCTTCCTCAGTATAATACAGTCATACACTAGCAAAATCCATCTGGCTGTTAAACTTGGACAAACAGACCATTCTGTATAATGTAAGGTATGCACAAACATCATAATCTCGTTTGAGAGTCAGATACCCACACAAAAATGTGTGTACCTGATAAATGCCTGCAGTACCTACTATATCCATGTTTAAAGTATGTTAGCTTTTTATAATTTTGTCTTAAGTCACTGGCTAAAGCCGGAGGGTGAGGGGGTGCAGAGAAGAAGAAGGAGGAAGGAGAAAGATTTGTTTGCTTAATCTCGAAAGATGTTCTTAGAGCAATGTTAAAAAGACTACAACATTCCCAAGACATAACCAGAACAAAAAGTTCTTCCTGTGGTCTTTGAAGATCCCCTGCAAACTATGTTTCTAATTTAAACTTTTTCACTTTAGCTCAGGAAACTATGCCTTTCTCCAGCAATTTCACCACCACTAGAGCTATAGGTTTTCAATGAAGAAAATCAGTGATCTAAACATCAGACATTTCCTTCCCATCCTTAACACTCACAAACTTGAAATGTTGCATACAAGTAACAGAAGTGCTTCAGCTTTTACGAGAGGTAGTGACCAGAAAAGGTAAGAAAGAGTGATAACACTGCAAAACATTCATAAATCATAAATTCATATATTCACAGTATAACAGGACTTCAATGTAGAATTGAGAGCTGAAGTGCAAAGAACTTTGTTACCACACCAGCCAGTTAACCAGTTATAAAACTGGGGCACAGGAGCATAGCGACATGCCCAACATCATCCAAGAGCAAAAGCCAATGAAGAAACAAAAATTTTCCTTGACTACTAAGCCAACACTCTAGCCTCGTGAGCAAACCTTCTCACTACCATTCTCCTCAGAGTCCTTTTAAGCCACACACCCCAGAGAGATGAAACTCAGCAAGAAATTCTCTTTTGAACTGCAAAGCCAAAAAACCCATCTGGCTCGAGGAAAAAATAAAACCTGAGATGTCAGTCCTCTTGAACACTGAGTGAAGTGTATACTGGTCCAGCATGTTCCTTTGTAGTAAATAAGAACAAAATGCCTTCGAAGCAGGATGCCAGGAACTGATCAGTCCACCTACCTGACGAAGAATACTGCTTATTAGTTTCAGTGATCTGATGAGTACTAGCTTACTAGAGACAAACCTGGGCCAGACTCTCTTTCTAAATAAAATGTACAGCTGTGGACAGGACAGGAAAGGTCTGTCTGCTCACCTGGCTATCAGAACAGCAAGTGCCACCAACAACTGCAGAAATTGAACTTTTCTCTCAAGAAACCTTTGGCATTCATCATGATGTTGTCTTATTTCTTGGTCAGTAAACTGCTTTCAAGCTTCTGCTGTCATCCCCATACGTCTGTCAGCCTCCCATATATCTATATATATCTATATATATCTATCACATCACTGTTAGCCTGACCTCAGTGCCTGGCAAGATTATGGAACAGATCATCCTGAGCGCCATCAAGCAGCATGTTGAAGACAACCAGGGGATCAGATCCTGCCAACATGGGTTTAGGAAAGGAAGGTCCTACCTGACCAATCTCATCTCCTTCTATGCCTGGGTGACCCACCCAGTGGATGAGTGGAAGGCTGTGGATGTGGTCTACCTCAACTTCAGCAAGGCCTTAGACACATTCTCCCACAGCATCCTCCTAGAGAAGCTAGCAATCCACGGCTTGGACAGGTGCACCCTTTGCTGGGTTAAAAACTGGTTGGATGACCAGGCCTAGAGAGTGATGGTGAATGGAGCTGCAACCAGCTGGTGGCTGGTGGCCAGCCGTGTCCCCCAGGGATCAGTACTGGGCCCAGTCCTTTTCCACATCTTCACTGACAGCTGGGATGTGGGGATTAAGTCCACCCTCAATAAGTTTGCAAGTGACACTAAGCTGGGGGGGAGTGTCAATCTGCTGGAGGGTAGGAAGAAGCTGCAGCAGGACCTGGACAGGCTGGGTTGATGGACTGAGGCCAACGGCATGAAACTCAACAAGACCAAGTGCAGGGTCCTGTACTTTGGCCACAATAACCCCAGGCAGAGCTACAGACCAGGGGAAGAGTGGCTGGAGAGAGACCTGGGAGTACTAGTTGACAGCCAGTTGAACATGAGTGAGCAGAGTGCCCAGGTGGCCCAGAAGGCCAATGGCATCCTGGCTTGTATCAGGAATAGCGTGGCCAGCAGGAGCAGGGTTCTCATTCTCCCCCTGTACACAGCACTGGTGAGGCCTCACCTTGAGTCCTGTGTACAGTTCTGGACCCCTCACTTCAAGAAGGATATTGAGGTGCTGGAGCAGGTCCAGAGGAGAGCAACAAGGCTGGTGAAAGGACTAGAGGGAAAGTCTTATAGGGATAGGCTGAGAGAGCTGGGGTTGTTTAGCCTGGAGGAGACTCAGAGGGGACCTTATCACTCTCTTCAACTACCTCAAGGGAGGCTGTAGTCAGGTGGGGACTGGGCTCTTCTCCCAGGCAACCAGCAATAAGACAAGAGGGCATGACCTGAAGCTGCTCCAGGGGAGGTTTAGGTTGGATATCTGGAAGTTCTTCCTCACGGAGAGGGTGATTAGACATTGGAATGGACTTCCCAGGGAAATGGTGGAGGCACCATCCCTGGATGTGTTCAAGGAAAGGCTGGATGTGGCACTTAGTACCATGGTCTGGTGGTCATAGGCTGGACTTGATGATTGTATAGGTCTTTTCCAGCCTTGGCGATTCTGTGATATGGCAGTTTAAAAATTGGTTAAAAATTGGTTAGTACTAATACCTTTACTAATTCCTATTTGGTTTTGTGAGCAGTTGTGAAACCGAAAGACTGTCAAGTCTCATTCTGTAACTGGCTGACAAATTGTATTAGAGGCAAGTAACAGAAAAAAATTGAAAACTGAAGACAAGCAGACACATTCACTCAGAGCCTCTAGAAAAATTCCTGTGCAATTTATGTGTCCCTTTTCCCCAAAAAGGCTCAATAGGAACAGAATTCCCAGCATTAGCTTATGTTTTCAAATGATTTAAAATATACAAGTGTGTGTGTGTGTATGTATATCTTGCTGCACTTCAGACCACCTCACTAAAATTTCTGCAGTTACTGTAGCCCACGCTATCCAAAAATAGCCATGATGAGTCCATTTAGCCCAAGTACCTAGCCTGGAGTGATGGACAGAACTTTACACATCTTTAATGACTGCCAGATTACATAAACTTTTAAATAAAGCACCAAATACACACATAGACCCAAAAAGTACAGTGGCTATGAATAGCCACTTGGCCTCCAAGTACCTCAGGTTATTTCTTCAACCAGATTCTGCTTACTTGGTGACAAAAGATCTGTCCTTCAAGTACTTTTCTAGTCTCTCCTTGAACCTTTGTTAACATATAGCCCAAACAATATCCTTGGGTCATAGTCTCCCACTAGGTTCTGTTTGATGCCTCCAAGGTCAACTGAACACAATAACAAACATAAGCTTACAGTTTTATGAATTATTTGCACAGGGAGAGAGGATCCTTCTTGGGAACTCACCATTTACTGTGGTACTGTTAAAGTTTTCCAAAAACTAGATTGTAATTTCTCAATGTAAGCCATCCTCACAGAACTACTGATAAGGCATAACTCTGTAACTAAATATTTATATAATGCTGTAACTTAACATAAATACATATAACATTAAAAGTCTGTGTGCATGTCTCTGGTGCATATCTCCATCTTTTTCAAGTTTTTACTTTCACAGTACACCACTTTTGCCATGAAACATCTCACTGCTGGCAGATAGAAGGCAACAGAAAAACAAAAGCAAAAATGTAGTACATATTCAAGCTATGCTGGGATGCAAAGTAAATTTTTCAGGTCCCTACAGTTTCTGAGATGCAATT